TTTTAGTATGGGTGTAATTGTGAAATTGTTACACTATGTAATCTCGATATATAGTCTATATATAATCTAGATATATACCGCATATACAATCTATATATAATCTACATATAAAAATCGTTTAGGGTTTACTTATGTCCATTGGAATATATTTTTTGTCTTTGAGGTATTTCACCCCCATCACGCTAACGGCAACATCCACAGCAAGTTTTAATGTGTACCTGTTGGTGTCATCGGTGTTGCAAGTCTTTCTCCAGCGACCTTTCTGGCGGAAAAAGATAATCCAACTGCGCCGGCAGTCACTACGGCTGCGTGGTAAAGTTCGTTAATAATTTTCTTCTTTTCAGTAATTGTTTTTATTGTAGGGTGGAAAAACGATTCGGTAATTATGCGGATGAAATTTGTTAATTTCTAAACAGGATTATTTGTTTTCCTTTAACTGTTTTTCAATTTCTTCCATCTCCGCGTTGTCAATGGAACGATCCTCGTTTAGGATGGTAGCCATGTCTTGACGGTTTGAATTGTAAAACGCCTAAAATGTTACTAATTTCGAGATATTCTAGGTATCGGTAAGGTTTCGTAATACTAGTAAGCTGTTGGGTGATAACAATGGTGGAAATTCCCATGCTTTGAGCGCTAAATCCAAGTTTTGGAAGTACAATACTGCTCAGAAATAACTGCGTTCGCGTCCCGAACGTGGTCGGAACGCGGTTGGACAATAATCATATTAAATGGTTTGTTTGTCATTTATTTTACACGAAATAAAATGGGATGTCTTTCGTCAAAACCTGGTGATACAAGAGAAAAGTGTAACAAAAAATCATCAAAAGAAGAAGATGTTCGCGGTCAAATTAAGGGTGAAATCAAAACAGACTTTCGAATACATATTGGATACGCTAACACAACTGTAAAAAAATACAGCGAGATCAAAACAACCGTGGACGAAATTATGTTGGCACGGCCTTACGAAGCGGGCGACAGCCAAGCAAGCGCCCTTCATAGAACCTGGATAAATATAAATGAGTTACTAACGAAACTATGTATTATTTGCATGCTACCTTCTAATTCCTATCACTTTCGAAATCCTACTCATAGTTTTTATTTTTAAAACTTTCTCTATTTGACCTAGGAGAATTTTTTAAAAAAACAAATACAGTCAATGAGAATAAATTGTTAAACTGGTCTTGATAACGAGAGTGCTCTAATTTTGTAAAAAAATGTACTCCGAGACTGTAACCAAAATCGGACTGTCAGCTAAAGACGACAAACGACACATTTGGACTGACAACACCAACACAATTGCCTATATGGACATTTTATCCATCGGAATTACGGCGATAATTGGAAAGCCATGTGAATAACTGGGGAAGGGTAGAACAAACCGACTAAACGAGGCGGAGCGACCGAACACGCTAGCGATCGACTGGAAGGAGTAGAGCCTAGTCGAAGGCGACTCGTAGCAAAGGATTTTTGGGACTGAGCCGCTAGGTGAGGTGAGCGCAGAGACGGATTTTGGGAGGATTTTTGGGAGATGGGGGAAACTCTAAGGTCTAATTTGGGGATCTTAGGGAGGGAAAATGGTCCAGAAATCCCGTTCGTATACTACTAGGACTCTAGCGCTCGAGTAGTCTCCCGACTTCCCAAGTGGTCAATAAACTCGAATGAGCACGCAAAATCATGAAAAAATTATTTTATAATACAGTATAAGATTTTTCTTTCTTTTTTCTTCCTGATGAAATTACAATTTCTTTTAACGCATGCAAAATACTATATAACTACATAACAGGAATTCGGCTGATCGGACATAAGCTTGCCACGGCATTTCAGCCAATCAAAAACGTTCTTATATAACATGTGTATTATAAACACATTTTACAGACATCACGAACATGAATTAGAATATAGATTGTACCATGTCTATGAATGGTCTTATAAACAGTAGGCATACAGGGCTTTTTATAAGAGCCAGGCCCATCTAAACCTGGTAGTTGTCTCGAATCTTGCTGTGGCTTCAAGCCTTGCGGGAAATAGGTGCAAAGTTAATTCAAATCTTGTTTTGCGGAAAGAATTGCGTAAATAAAACCAATATATTAATATAAACAGCTCCATATGTCCATTGTCCCAGACGTTTTAACAGCTATAAAATTGATTTAAAAGGTGCTTCAAACTATTTGAATTATTGTAGTAGTGAACTTTTATTTAGTCACGGTGGACTCATCAGGATTTTACACACTTATGATAAAGTAACAAAGGAAATTAGATATATGATAAATTATACTATACATATTTACAAAACTACCTGTTTTTCATGAGTGCCGTGCATTAAATTGATAAAATTAGATAAAATATTTAAAAATTATTGAATAAAGTTGCTACAGTCAGACTTAAATTTATGTAAAGTACTAGCCTGTCTTAACTCAGTAGGAAGAGAATTCCACAGTACTGCACCGCTATAACTAAAGCTATTTTTCAAGTAATTAGTACGCGGTAGTGACAAAGCTAGTTTGTTACTGGTGTCTCTCAATGCATAATTTGTGATACTATTGCGATCAACAAACATATTAGAAAGATAATCTGGAGCAAGACCATTCAAGGATTTATACACCATGATAGCCTTGGTAAGCCTACGCTGAGATACAAGATTTTTCCATCCAAGACTTTCGAAAAGATAATCGGCATTTGTATCATAACTAGAAGATGTCAATACCCTGGCAGCACGATTTTGTAATTTTTGCAATTTGTTAACTAGATAACTACTGCAACTATCCCAGACAGCAGAGCAGTAGTCGAAATATGGTTGAACTAAGCACTTGTAAATAAGTTGCATTGTGGTAAAAGGAACATAAGGTCTAATGCGTTTTAGTGCACCAATACCGGAAGCAACTTTTTTACTCAGTTTCTCAATATGAACATTCCAGGATAAGTTCTCATCAATGTGTACGCCGAGTGATTTTGTATGAGAGACTTGTTTAACTGGAACGTTATTTATTACTAATAAAGGAGTAGATTGAAAAGTGTTTATTCTTTGGCGAGAGCCAATTAGCATAAATTCAGTTTTAGTCTGGTTTAAAGTAAGTTTGTTTGCTGATAACCATTCACTGACATTAGCAAGATCCTCGTTAAGATTATGATTAATTTCATGTATGTTATTACTTGCATATGTCAAATTAGTGTCATCAGCAAACATTCGTGCCCGAGAGTGTATTAGACAATTAGGAAGATCATTAATATAGATTAAAAATAAAAGCGGGCCTAATATAGTTCCCTGAGGAACCCCACATTGTAGTAATCGATTCGAGGAGAAATGACCGTTAACAAAACACTTTTGATTACGTTCATTTAGATACGATCTTAACCAGTTACCCGCAGTTCCCTTGATTCCATATGCATTAAGTTTGTTCAGCAATATTTCATGATCTACAGTGTCGAACGCTTTTTTAAGATCAAGAAACATTACAGCATTTACATTACCACTGTCAATATTATAAGCCCATTCGTTGGTAGCCTCAAGAAGAGAGGTGACAGTAGAATGTAGGCCTCGAAATCCCGATTGATAATTAGTTAATAATTCATTTTCAGCTATAAATGTATATAGCTGATCATAAATTACCCTTTCAAAAACCTTAGCCACAATAGGAACAATAGAAATGGGACGATAGTTATCAACGCAATTGCGTTTGCCTTGTTTGTATATAGGAATAACTTTAGCACATTTCCATTCGTTTGGGAATATGCCTGTAGTGATAGAACGATTAAAAATAAGACAGAGGGATTCTGCAATTAAGTCAGAGCATTCGATCTCTAATTAACCTAGAAGATATTTTGTCTAAACCTGTTGCTTTAGAAGTGCTTAACGTGGACAGTAATGCGTAAACGGTTGGAATACTTATTTCCCTCAGTTGAAAAATAGCATTATTTTGGTTAGGTAAATAATCAAGATAAGACCGATTGCTATAATTAAGATTAATTTTATCTGCAAAGTCTGGTCCGATGTTTGAAAAGTGATCGTTAAACGCATCAGCAATTTTGCTAGGGTCATTAATTAATACGCCATTCAAATCAACCTCGCCAATGTGAGGGCTTTTCCTATTTTTAGAAGTAAGTTCATTAATGATCTTCCAGGTCTTATTAGGATTGTCTTTATTATCATTGAAAGAATTTTTGAAATAGGCTTGCTTTGCGTAGAAGATTTCAGAATTAACAAAATTACGCATTTTCTTAAAAGAAAGCCAATCTTGAGTATCGTTGGAACGAATTGCTTTAATTTTTAGGACATCTCGCCTATGCATTTTATCTTTCAAAAGAGATGTGATCCAAGGCGATTTAATAGCCTTAACGCGCTTAGCTCGAATTGGGGCGTGCTTATCTGCGACAGAATTGAATGTGGCTTTCCAAGCATGCCACATGTCATTAGGGTTTTCGTACTGATTGATATAGTTCCAACTCTGTTGACTAATATCATTACGAAATTTAGTAGAATCAAAGTTTTTAAACTTTCTGTAGTTTATTGAAGAATGTACCCCCGTCGATGAACCCACAGAAAGTTTGCGAAAGGCGTAAATAAGACTATGATCGCTTATACTCACATGAGAAACACCAGAGCAAACAACCTTGTCAGGAGTATTTGTGAAAATATGATCTAACAATGTTGAGGAGGAGTCTGTGATTCGAGTAGGTTCATTTATAAGCTGAGAAAGATTATATAAATCGGCAATATCCATGAGTGACTTCGAATCATGATCTAAGACTGTAGAGCTCAAATCACAGTTGAAGTCGCCCATGAGGTAATACTCGATATTTTCGGAATCGAGCATACCTAGAAGAATTTCAAAATAATTAAACATTGCTACAGGCGAATTAGGAGGCCTGTACCAAGTGGTAATAAGAAAAGCTCTTGGCTCTAGGTTTATTAACTGAAATACACAGGTTTTCCAATTGCTCAAAAGATAGATCATGGCGAACTGAAAAATTTATACAGCTACGAATATAAAAACAAACCCCACCGCCAAATCTACCATTGGAATCTCTATCTCGCCCAACAATTTCGTATCCAGGTATATGTACTTCGTTGTCACCAACCGTAGAGTCAAGCCTTGTCTCATTAATAGCCAGTACATCAATCACATTATTTGATAGATAGATTCTAAGCTCATCAATATGTTTGACTAAACTGGTGATATTAAGTGAGGCAAGTTTAAAGCCACTCCTGTTTGGCAAGAGCAGGTTTTGAATGTTAGAAGTAGTTTGCATAGTCTTAGATTGAACATTATTTACTGAATTAGCAACTCTAGACACGTACTTCAAATATTGCTGCGTTGTTACGATATAATAAAAACAATCCATTTTTATTATATACCTAAGAGGTTCACACCTAACAATGGCTTATCTTTGCATGCAATCTATATACAGGGCTGCACAGAGGGGGGGCTGGGGGGGGGCAAATCGCTCCGGGCCCCCACCGTAATTAATAGGGCCCCAACTTGAGAACGAGAGCCTAAGATTGAGTAGGTTCTTTAAATTCATCAGAGCATTTTTGAAATTGAGGGCCCCTTACAGTAGCTCCACATGCAGTCTAGCTAAGGTCTAGTTGGGTCTAGCTTAAAAATAATGATGTCATGAGTCCCCCAGAGAATATTTGTCCCTGGCCCCGCGAATTCTCTCGACGGCCCTGTCTATATATGCATTTCAGAAATATTATTTATTAAGGCCGCCCATTTGATGCAGGGGTAGATTTTCATAGGGCACGATAATTGTTTTAATTAACCTCCTAATGCTGCTCGATCTTTTTCTGTCGTTCCCGGCTTTTGAACGAATTGTATATTGCTCGATATCTTTAGTTTCGGCCCGTCTGTTCTTGCCCGATATTTTTCTAAGTGAATATTTTTGGGGAAATCCACTACTTATTAACACAAGGGGCTTAACTACAGTCAGTAACAAGTGTAGTTAAATTAATCAAAATAATAAACTTACTTTAAAAGATTTGCATAAATTCTTCGCAAGAATATCGATAAATATAGCAATTATGAATGGAGAAAGAGTATAAAAAGTTATCTATATGAAGTATACTATAGAATTGCAACCGCTAAATTGTTTCCGCCAAATTTACACCCGATTCCGCCTGGTTGTCTAAAAATGACTTGTTATTGAGCAACACTGCATCATTATGGCCTGCTCATACGAAATCGTACTGATTTTAGAAAAGTACAAAATTGGGTTTGATAGGACACAACTTTGCTTGCATAAATTAACACGTCGTGGGTCCCATGTTGTTGGGTTTGTTTTGGGGGTTTTTTTTTGGGGGGGGAGGGACAAGGGCAGCATTTTTCCAACAAACACATTTTTTTCCGACAGAAATATTACATGAAATCAAATGACTATTCTACAAACTTATAGTGGGAAAACGTAAACTGAGTCCGATTTCCGATATTTCATCTATATATTTTTTAATAGGTTTTGTTTGTGGAAACACCACGTAAATTTATTATTTTATTTATTTAGTAATAAATTTACGTGGTGTTTCCACAAAAACCTATTATATTTTATCACCATGCAAACATACAAAGAACTTATATATTTTTTATTCAAACATGTTTCGTATTATCAAACAACGAAGAGAAGTGAAATTCCCGCTTGTATCTGCAGGAATGCTTGACCAAGAACGTTCCGACAATATAACAAATTTCCAATTTTCCAGCGGGTCACAAAAATAGAGGGCCCATGCCTCCTGCCCTCCCCCCGGGCACGGCGCCACAGAGTATACCAATTATTTATATTACACCAGTAAATAGTTCTTAAACATATTTTCCAGCTATAGCCTTTAATTTAATTATTGTCACTTTCTGTAATATCCTTGCCGATCGGGTCCCCCCAAAAATATTCAACTTAGAAAAAATATCGGACAAGAGCAGACGTACCGAAAAAATATCGAGCAATTGTTCAAAATCACTGAACGACAGAAAAAGATTGAGCAGCATTAGGAGGTTAATTAAAACAATTAACGTGCCCAATGAAAATCTACCCCTGCATCAAATGGTCGGCCTTAATAAATAACATTTCTAAAATCCATATATATATATATAGAATAGTCGTCGCATGCAAATATAAGCCATTTTAGGTGTGAACCTCTTAGGTATATAAGTAAAAAGGGATTGTTTTCATTATATCATAACAACGCAGCAATATTTGAAGTACGAGAATATCTGCAAGTGAATGTCATTTAATACTCCTGATTAACCATATTTCCAAACGTTTCTCGAGAAAGATGGCGTATAACCTATCATACATACGAATTGAATGTTAAAGCCATTCGAGCGGATGAAAACATATTCAATTTACAGATCCAAGGCTGATATAATTTAATTTAGTGTATTATAAATGGGTTGCGGTAGTAATGTGTTTATAAAATGCTCCGTCGTCCGCCCTCTGCCGTCCGCGTCCGCTTTTTATCTGCAAGTTTGATATTTTTTGTGTGAGTAAAAATTTGATATTTTTTGTGTGGGTGAAATTTGATATTTTTTGTGTGCGTGAAAATTTGATATTTTGATTACGGATTTTAATATTTAATTAATGCGTGCGTTTATATATTTGTTACAGATGTTTTGATATAAATTGGCCATGACTTTGGTATAACGTTTGACGGCTTGATATTATTTGGAACGTTTCATATTTATATTGCGAGTTTTGGCATTTTAATATTGGCATTGATATTATATCTACAACTTTCATAATATTGTCCGTAACGGTACGCCATACCTATTTTTAGAAGCGTGGGGAAATTAGAAATATCTTGTTTAATATGAACTTTTCCTTACATATTTTTTAGAACAAAAACGTTATTTACTTATTATGACCACAGGCGGCCCAATCTCAGAATGAATGATCACGTGTTGCCGGTTTTTAACGGTTTTTATAAACAAATTTATAGTCAACCTAAACTATTCTAAAAACATTCTCAAATTAGTCAAATAAATAATTTTAACAATAAGATATAGTTGACATGATAGTATAATACCTTTGCATTCTTTTAATTAATCCATGAGCTCATTTAGAGCGGTTGATGTAACATTTTCTGTGGCCTACATTGTGTGTGCTCATTATATATAATATAAGAGTAAAAGGCTAATCACTGGCGGCACGACCGCATCGCCTTCAAAGTCAAATATCTCCGCTCAAATTTGTCGTACGGCAAAACAAATTCGATTACATCTTTTCACAAAGATTTCTCTTTCTAAATAATATGGTTTGATCGTAGCTTGGGAAAATTTAGCGACGAACGGAACCAAAATTTCCTCAATTTCGGATGCTGTTCAACATACTTAGGGCTGCTCGGGCACGATCGTGGACGTGACGTAATCAATACATACTGACAATACCGCCTTACCGCCCTACGTGGGGTGGGACAGCGTCAAGCGACAAATTATCGTCGGATTTGATATGCTGTCCCACCCCGAGTAAGGCGGAATTGTCAGTGTGTATTGATTACGTCACTTCCACGATCGTGCCACAGATCTCTAAACTTTGCAGAGAAGTTAAGAGTGAGATTGGGGATGTGGATGACACCTTTGTATAAAAAGTCCGGAGGTCTGAAATGGCATTTCGTGCATTATGAGAGTTGGTGTTTTTTAATGAAAGATACATTGCTTCATAACGTCCTTTAAGACAAGGCACTTTAGTTACAATAACTGTATTTCTGCGACCGATACAGTAATGAGCTTTAATTTGCCTTTGATAATTTACATATTGAATTCTGCTCTGACTGATTCTGCCTTTTTTCCGCCGTATTTACATATGCGTACTATTTTGTATCCAAAATGCGGGCAAAATGTCGGGCCGTATATGCAGGAACAATAACACGCGATTATATATTCGATTCGCGATCCGTATAATGATTATAATAATGTGCATTTAAGAATACAATATTATACTATAAAAAATACTATAAAATTGCTATATGCGTGATATTTACTGAACGTGGCGTGAGAGCGTGAGAGTGAAGCGAATTGCGTGAGACTCACGCCGAATGCGTGAGAGTTGAGAGGTCTGGTGCCCGAGCAGCCCTAAGTATTTTGAACAGCATCCGATATAGAGGAAATTTTGGTTCCGTTCGTCGCTAAATTTGCCCAAGCTACGATCAACCATATTATTTAGAAAGAGAAATCTTTGTGAAAAGATGTAATCGAATTTGTTTTGCCCTACGACAAATTTGTGCGGAGATATTTGACTTTGAAGGCGATGCGGTCGTGCCGCCAGAGATTAGCCTTTTACTGTTATATTATATATAATGAGCACACACAATGTAGGCCGCAGAAAATGTTACATCAACCGCTCTAAATGAGCTCATGGATTAATTAAAAGAATGCAAAGGTATTATACTATCATGTCAACTATATTTTATTGTTAAAATGTATTTATTTGACTAATTTAAGAATGTTTTTAGAATAGTTTTGGTTGACTAATAATTTGTTTATAAAAACCGTTAAAAACCCGCAACACCTGATCATTCATTCTGAGATTGGGCCGCCTGTGTTATGACATTTAGCTTTTGACAATAATACCAATCATACTAAAAGTATTTAACTTGACTTCGCTGAACCATATGTCTTAATATTTATATGGTGTTTTTTATCGTGTTGTTTTGAAAGCCCCCTCATTCCAGTCCAGATGCTCCCCCCTGGCGAAGTGTTTTCGAACGCGGGAGCCATGTTGCTGAGTCGCTCTCGTGGCAACGATCATGTAGTGAACGCTTCGGTAGTGAACGCTTGTTTGAATTTTGGACAAACAAAGTTCGTCGTGTGTCGCGGAAATTGCTGCAATGGTGAACAAACCAAGTTCTTTCGGAAGAGGAGCGTTCATACTATTAGGCGATGGGAAATTTATATTGCTCTGCAACGTTTCTGAGGCGAGATATTGGACTCGATGTCGGACAGTATATCAGATAAGTGACTGGCCTTGTAGTTATTCTGCTCCTATGTAGTCCAGTGCCAGTACTGACGATCGTTGAAGTACGACGAAAACGTAAAGCAATCGCATCACCTAGACTCAGAAGCACAATAAATACATTCTATTAACAAGTGAGATATATTTTTACATATATTGTTAATATTTTTTGAATTATTTCGTTATTAAATATTATAACGTTTAAATATTCCGTACAAATATTCAAAATATATTGACCACTCAGAGATTGGGCCCCCTGTGTACAAACATATACAAAATATGCCAACCTCGCAAGGCTATATTTTCCGTATTTTACAACATTTCTTAACCAAATTTTGCAATTTTACTAATTACTCGCTGGGGCACCTGTCCCAAGACAAGTATAGGTTTCGGCGCGCATTTTTCACGGATCGGCAATCGGCTATCTCTAATATATAGTGGATCTCCAATCGTCGATAGCCACAAAATAGAATATTAATGACCTAATAAACCCAATTTTTTCCTTTTCAAAATGGCGGCTTTTCGTGGAGTGGACAAAATGTTTCAAACAATTTCGTTAAAATTTTCAACGAATTGTACCAGTTTTCTATTTCTATTTCGTTTTAAAGCGCAGTTGGATCCTAGCGTACGGACAACCTGGCGGCCGACAGAAGAATGTAGCAGTAGCGTACTAGCTTAATTACTTGTAGGAGGAAACACCGGAAGTTTTATTTATAGGGCACCTTCTCTCCTCCGCAGAGTCCCCCTAAGTATTTACAAATAACTTACATGAAGTTTCCAGAGGGCACTGTATTTTACTCTGTCTGGTTCTATAAAATCCTGACCGAGGGTCATTTTACTAACAAAAATTTCAAAACTGAGCTATCTCACCTGCTATACAAACCTAGCGAATTTGAGAGCTAGCAAAATCGACTACTATGAGACATTAAAATAATAACCGGTGCATTGCCATTGGGGCACAATCCTCAAAAATATAATCTGTGTCAAATACTGTAAGTTGTGAAGGCAAATCTGTAAACAATAAAAATTATTGCTGCGCTAAACATGATAAGTTTGAATATAGTTCACCAAAAACTATTCTATATAAGCGGAATTTGCATGTTTTCCGTCTGAAGGACAAAAGCACAGCATGTGTTGCCTGAACAGAAGGACAATGGTTCTTCGTCCTTCGCAGGCAAAACATACAAATTCGCCTTATGCACAATGCACATCACAAAAACAAATAAACAAAACCAATCGCCTCGCGCCGTTCTAAGAAAAACCCTGGGACGAGGTTGAAACAAACGCCTGAGCTGGCGTCTTGTTTTCTGTAAATTGCTCTTCTGTAGCGGTTACCAAATTATGAGCAAATATGGTGACAAAATTTCGTTTTCATTGGTATAGCCCCAGCGAATAAAGCTCTATAGAGCGTCTTGTTTTAAAAAGTTTTGTATGAGAATTTACTTTTTTTGCCTAGATAAAAAATTAGCATAACATGCGAATTGTCTATTAATTAAACCCAAATAGTGTTATTTCTAGGATATACGCAGGAAAGGTTCACCAGAGTGTTTTTAGAGTTAACTTAGTCAAGTATAAATTTAAACAACTCCGAATAGAAGTTGCAAATAAATCCGGAGTTTGTTTTTAGTGCAAAGTTGCTTTGGATCAATGGATCGATGCATCGATCTATGGATTTATATAGTAAACAATTCGGGGGGAGCTTGCAAATTATTTTTATTACGTTTTCTAGAGCTTCGCGACGTTCGGCCAACTAATCATTCATAGCTGTTTGTAGATTATAACAATCCATATTTATATTCATGATAATACACGTTCTTACTTATTTATCCGACATTTAGAGAAGTTATAACCAAATTACTGTTGCATTTCAAGCACTTGTTATTATATGATATGCCCCCCTGCAACATAAATACACGTGCATAATACACGTGCTCTCATATCATAGAATATATTTTATCATTTTACAATGGCGGACATGGACGAGCGGTGACTATTGAGCGGCGTTGTGAAATCGTGTAGACTAGAGTATATTACAACTGAGGTTGATATAGTATTATAGCACAGTGGTTTATCTATCAAAGATATGGAGCGATGTATACGTACGTATACATGAATAAGTGCCAGTGGATAGTTTTGATATAAGTCAGCAGCTGATTTATATCAGCTAGCTCTATTCTTGTATTATTATATCGCGATAAAACCCGAGGAAAGGAGGGACCGCTAGCAGTCTATATCAGCTAGCTTATTCTTGTATTATTTATATATCGCGATAGAGTTAGGTTTACATGGCCCAATAAATAGTAAATAAGTGAAATTTTGCTCCAGAGGCAACTATACTCTATAGCGGCGACGCCGGTGGGAGCCAGTGAACTATAATTGTCTGTATTAATGATCTATAGTGCTTGTAGTGGAGTATATAATTTTTAATAGCAGAAATTTCTGTACTCAGTGTAATCTGTAGTCAGTAATGGCAGTTCGTATTGTTTCCGAGACGTTTTATATAATCAATCATTCCAAGCTTTTGTCAAACTATTGGTATTTCTCACTTCTGCAGTTATGGCATTTCATTGATAAACTGTAAAATATTATATAAGTGAGAAATATTTAGAAGTCGAGGCCATTGTTCTGTTTGCATATTATTAAAGGATTAGTGTCGCAACGGGAATTCGCGGGCTCAAACTCCTGCTGGCGCCCATTTTTCGGGACAAATAGATTAGATTATCTGGAAAGTGTTTACAATCCGTCATATATTTTAACCATCCTTTTATAATCCTTGCTCCTTTTGTGTGATTTTTATCAGAAATGTACCAAACAAGGTATTTTTATCGCTATTTGTTGTATTAAAATGTATTGTAAGTAAAATGTAAACAATAACAAAAGCCAGCAATGCATGACCCTGACACTAATCCTTTAAAGTCAATAGACAGCAACTTCTAGAGCACGTGGCCAGCACGCAGTCGACTTGAACTCGTTCTGTTTTCTCTTTGGCTTTCTAAATCTGGAAATGATTTCGAATGTCAGGTGACAACAATTTCTTGAATTCTTGCAAGCAGCAAGCTGTTCATTTTTGTTTCATTTCGATTTTTGATTCGAAGGCGGTTTATTTTGTTTTGTATTAAATGTACAACGGAAAGTGGGTAGAAAATTGAACTAAAAGCAAAGAAAAAAGATTTGGATTAAAGCTACCATTCAAAGAATTAAGCCATGGAAAATTATCCATGCGGAAACAACAACATTTGTTGTCGTGGCTTGTAATATATAAAAGCAAACGCCAATCAACTTCCTTATATGTGCATCAATCCTATTTCATACATTATGCGAATCAACATGAATCTTAATTACCATTTGTCATATCAACTTTGCACTATCCTTGGGATCTCTGAGTTTATTTATTTATTTATTTGGTTATGAAGTTACAGCAGACAACGGATATACATCAACTAGTCACTACCAGCGTTATTTTTCTTGTCCTTGTTGCTGCTCTTGATATTGTTGTGGATAGTGTTCTTGTTTCTGTTGTTGGTCTTGCGGTTGTTTCAGCTGTTGTTACTGGGTTGTTGCAACTGTTGCTACTGCTGTTAATGTACTTGATGGAATTGTTGTGGTGGATGTTGCGGTTGTTCTAGTTGTTGCTTCTGTTGTTGATGGTATTGTTGTGATGCATGCATTGTTGTTGTTTTTGTGGTGAAATTGTTGTTGTGGTGGATGTTGTTGTTGTGGTGGATGTTGTTGCTGTGGTGGATGTTGTTGTTGTGGTAGATGTTGTTGTTGTGGTGGACATTGTTGTTGTGGTGCATGTTGTTGTTGTTGCTGCTTTGTCAATAATTTTGTCGTTTAGTTGTATGTTGTTGCAATTGTTGATGTTGTTTCTATTGTTTCAGTCGTTTATTTTGATGCTGCTTGTATATTAGTTGCTGTCGTTGTTACTCAAACTAACGGTTAATTATTTAATATTTTGCTTTCAGGTGCTTCCCAGTGTTGGAGAGACAAGTTAACGGTTGCGGACAACAGTGCTTCTAACTACACGTGTGGTGCATCATCTGCCGGCAACACGACAACTTATAGGGATGGTAATGTCTCGTTTCTTTTTTCGACTGATGGGAGTGGCTCTGGAAGCGGATTTATATTGACATACAAAATCTTAAAAAAGTCTCATGCCTTACGTAAGTACGATCAATGAGAGACTAGGCAGCATTAGTTGTTGCGGTAACGATTTTTCGCCCTATGATAGTTGGACTTCCATTGACACAAGTGTTTCTACAACAAAAAAACGCCCTATTTAAATAAAATTATTATTTATTTAAATAATAAATCGTCATATATAAGATGGAACACACTCCGAATATTAACATCTTGGTGATGGTGAAGGTGACATAATCAGCTTAAAGAATTGCAAAGGGATTATATTTAACAATTATTGAATGAGGTTGAGCATGATATGAAGAATTACCAAGCCTGAAGTTTGTGTTATTTTATTTAGTCTACGACGATATGGATATAAAACCAAGCGAGAACTGGCGGCCATTCAGGAATGATTTTAAACCATTAATGTATTTCGAACAACTGTAATAGTTTAATATTCCTGTCTGGAAATCATTACATTAATTCATTTCTTTTGCCAAGCTTCGAATTCCCTTTCGTAAACCCGTGTCTTGATCAGTTCTAGCTGCGTCGCAAAGCATGAAAGTTTCGACTGTAATGATTGTGAAAGTTGTCGTGTATTTAGATTATACTTTTAACAAAATATGAATAATACATAAGCATGGCCGATCTACATATCTAATGCTTATGTCCATGCGTATGACCGCTGTCCGTTCTTTATCTATATATCAAACACCATCTCTCCTCTTAAGGAATGTATCATAAAATATTGTTCATGAGTTCACTATCGTGTTCGAACAATTATGTTAACCATGACAGTAAGTAATAAAGCAGTTCTCTATGTAGTTTTCTTAAACAGTTTTCGAATCAAACAGTTAAGACCCCACCTCTCGGGTGGTAGGTGTGATCTAGTTGGGTAACGTTGTTCAGATCCTGTTGTAGCCCTACCGGCTTCTTGTTGTTGCACTACTGGTGGATTCGTGGCTAGTTCGATATCCGGCTCTGCGACAATTTCTTCTGCTGGTGCAATATTCTGGCCAGTCTCACCGAGCTCTGGATGAGGTTCAGCTGTATCATCACTCTGATCATTTACTTTCACACTAGAAGCTCGAAGCTGGTCGATGTGACGTCGCCAAATTCGATTTCGACCAACTTTTATCTTGTATGAAAGGGGTCCGGTTTGAGCTCGAACTATGCCTGGTAGCCACTTGTCTTTCCCACTGTAGTTACGTGCCATGACAGTCTGGACAATGGATACCTGACGTGTGGGGGAATGTCCTTTCCTCCCTGCTTGATCAATTTGCCTGTTCACCACTTTCGTTTGTAAATCAGGTTTTACCAATCGAGGCGAGTCCGTAGCGCTCTGCCCAAAAACAACACGGACGATGATTCTCCAGTCGTCGAATGCGGGGTATTCCGGTAAGCCAAAAGGAACTTTGCCATATTGATTTTCACCTGGGATGTACTTTGTTTCTCGCATTTCATAGCATGTTTGAAACTCTGAACAAAACGTTCCGCTTGACCGTTGGTTGCAGGGTGGAATGGGGCCGTGGTAATATGCTTGATACCATTAGTCTTCAAAAATAGTTGGAACTCTGTGGATGTAAATTGTGGCCCATTGTCGCTCACCACCTGTGCTGGCACTCCATATCGGGCAAAAATGGTTCGGAGTCGGTCAATGGTCTGCGTCGATATGGTGGATGGCATTATCTCCACTTCAGGCCACTTTGAGTGTGCATCGACAATGATAAGGAACATTCGTCCTAGGAACGGCCCAGCAAAATCTAAATGGATTCTCTGCCAAGGTGTGGTTGGCCATTCCCAGGGGTGTAGTGGTACTTTGCCGGCTTCATTCTGTTGAAGTTGACAACCAGGACGGCTCTTGGCTAGGTGCTCAATGTCCTTATCAATTTTGGGCCACCAGATGTAACTTCGCGCCAGAGACTTCATTTTAACAATACCGAGGTGACCTTCGTGAAGCTCGGTTAACACTTGATTACGCAACTTTGCAGGAATGACTGCTCTGTGTCCAAGCATTAGGACACCACAGTGAACTATCAGTTCATCTTTCCGCTGGTAAAACGGTTTAATCGCTTCATCTTGTGGAATGGACCATCATTTCATAACCAGCTCATGGACCAATAGAGGATCTCTCTCTGTTTCTCGTTTGACCTGTTCTGCCGTGACTGGCAAAGGCTCAAACTCCGTGGCATAGAAGAGGCCCACTTGGATCTGGCTCTTCTTCTGTTGTCTCACTATTCAAGGGTAATCGAGACAAACCATCCGCATTTTCGTGTAACTTAGTGTTCTTGTATCTAATTGTATAGTCAAAACCCGCCAATAACAAAGCGTAGCGTTGTAATCTAGCAGCAGTGACAGCAGGAAGGCTTTTGCTGGGATGGAAGATTGAAGTGAGAGGCTCCTGATCAGTCAGTAAGGTAAAATTCCTTCTGAAAAGGTAATTGTGGAATTTCTTGACTCCCCACACTGTAGCCAGCGCTTCTTTATCTATCTGTGCGTAGTTGCGCTCCGCCTTCGACCGGGATCTCGATGCAAACGATATCGCTCGCTCTGTGCCGTCTGCCATGACATGGGATAGTACCGCTCCAATTCCTACAGGTGAAGCATCACAAGCCAGTTGTAAGGGAAGGTTAGGATCATAATGTGTAAGCACCAGATCTGAAACAATCATTGCTTTAACTTTGCAAAAAGCTTCTTCGCATTGATCTGTCCAGTTCCATTTGTAGTTACTTTCCAGCGTTTGGTTCAATGGATGCAGGATTGTAGCAAGGTTTGGCAGGAATTTGTGGTAATAATTCACCAATCCCAGGAAGGAGCGTACCTCTGCAACACTCTGGGGGCGAGGGGCATTCACCATTACAGCTGTCTGGTCGGTGATCTTGTGCAGGCCTTCGCTATTAATGTCGTGGCCACAGAACGTGATCTTTTCTTTGAAGAACTCACACTTCGATTTATTGGCTCTTAACCCATGGTGGTGCAGCCGTCGAAGGTCCTCCTCCAGGTCGTTGCTTTTACCCGTCACAATCATATCATCGAGGATACAACTAAAACCAGAAGTTCCTTCCAGGATCTGATCCATGGTACGCTGCCAAATGGCGGGAGCGGAGGTAATACCAAGCACCAATCGATTATATTGAAACAAGCCCACGGACGTATTAATTGTAAGGTACTTCTTGGATTCTTCCTCCAACTCAATCTGATGGTAAGCTTGGCGGAGGTCGATCTTGGAAAACGTTTTCCCACCAGCTACATGGGCAAAGATATCTTCTATTCGAGGCAGAGGATACTGTTCTGCTTGTAATGTTGGGTTAATAGTACCTTTGAAGTCACCACAAATACGGACTGAACCATCTTGTTTCGGCACTGGTACAATCGGTGTCGCCCAATCACTCCACTCTACTTTCGACAAAATACCTTCGCTCTGAAGTCTCTTCACTTCTTCCTCCACTTTCGGTCGTAAGGAATATGGGACCTGACGAGCTTTGCGAAACTGTGGTTGACTACCTTCTTTGAGGGTTATCCTTGCTTTGGCAGATTTGAAAGTTCCGAGCTTGTCTTCAAAAACCTCTGCATGCGTATCCAATAGGTTTTTCAGCTTCTCTTGTGTAGTTGTGCCAGGGTTTCTATGGCTGGGATCTGAGGATTTCGACAACTTAATGGTTTTCCAGTTGAGGCGAAGCTTGTGAAGCCAATCTCGACCCATTAACACTGGACTACATGGAGTGGCAATAGACATGATTGATCTAAGTATTCAACTTACATGGTAAGGCAACCAACTGGAACGATCAGTTCAGGCATTAAAATACGGAATTTTTACAAGGACACGCTTTGCCTTCAGAGGCGTATTTTTGGTATAAATGCGCAGACTCACGAGAACGAGTGCCGAAGCCACAAGTTTAGCGTCGAAGACGAGAGCTTTTAAGGGGGTCTCTGAAATGGCATTTCCAGAGTTCTGAGAACAGAATTTGCAAAATCTTTGGCCATTTTACGTGGATTGCATTAAGGTTACAATATATGATGAGACTCTGATTTTGTCCAAAATTTTTTTTTTATATAGTTATATAAAGTAATGATATATCTATCAATTCCAGAAACTTTTTTAAGAAAATGTTAAAAAGCGATCGAGATATAGGGGAACATGCTATGACCACTGAATAGCTTCGCGCGAAACTTGTAATTATGATTGACTCGAATTGTCAGTCTGACCTCTTGCGGTTAAATACAATTAGTAAGGAACCGGTCTAAGCCAAAACGCAAACGCAGTAGAAAAGTCACCGAAGCCAACATCGCGCATAGCTTGAACTTCGAGAGACTCTGTAAATACTATATTATAAGCTTTCTAATGTTGTCGCAATGATATATGCCTCTGACAAATAACTTATACTTTAGTGAATTTCACACCTTGATATTTGACGCCAGCAAAGTTCACACTTTGTGGTTTGACCACAAGTGGATTAACATTGGGACGGAGAAAATGACAGAAAGAGTGGAAACCTCGCCAAATCTTATATGGTCATTTGAAGACAAAGCAAAATTACCCAATCTCCTCGACAAAAAAGAGTTTAACGACAGAACGTTTTATCCGATTCGTCCCAAACTTGACCACAATGTTAATCAATAATAAAGGAACAAAAGGGTGTTCGCGTTTTCGATTTAGTGCATTATTTTTCAATTTAGAAGCATCTCTTCAACCGCTTATACCCGCGCAAGATAAGTCAAGTTGTCTGCTTTATATCAAAGCGAATACAATAGCTGTCAAAAAATGAGAACACACTTTTCTTCTTTGGACATTTGAGATGAGAAATATGATATTTTGGGAGCTCCTGAGTTAAACGGTCTGTCGTTAAATCTCGTGGCGCAAGAAGTGCTATTTTTCAAAAGATGTCTCATTGCGACTGCGGGTTAAAAGGTGGTGAATTTTGGTTAAAACAGTAGCTTCTACAGTTAGTTATCATTGCATGTATCATTGAGAAATGTAACTAAAAAATTGAGCACGCAGTGACAATTTTTCTGAAACAGGAATCTATCATATGATGTAACCTTAATATATTTTCAGTTTAATATATTTTCAAGTACACACTTTTCAATTTACAAGGGCACATTCGCCTTCTACAAGAACACAAAGTGTGTACAAGGACACGGTATTTTAATGCCTGGATCAGTTCACCAGTATAGGTCTTTAGTACAGTGGTTGTTTTCTCTTACTTCTTGTCGCGAAATCTTTCCAAGAACATGTCGTATGGCAAAATGGACACGGCCGATCCTGTGTCTAGTTCCATGGATAGTGGTTGATTTTCAACTTTCACGTCAATCCATATGACATCACTGCTTGTTTTGTTTACATTATGAGCTTCTAGGTTATTCAACAAGTGCCCATATTCATCTGGTTCGGTCTCTATGGCATGGGTCGATTTCTGGTATCTTGATCTTGGCGAGGGTCGACCGTGCCCCTGGCTTTGTTGTGCCCGGCAAGCTCTTTGAATATGACCTATCTTTCCACACTTATGATAGACTTCTTTCTTTCTGAGTGTAGATACACTCAGTTGCAACATGGGTATTAGCTCCACATCGATAACACACTACAGGGGAAGGTGGGCCACTATCTGACCTATTCGAGGGTCTGTTCAGTGTCAGTTTGTCAAGACCAAGATGTTTTTCTTCTTTACCCTCGCTGTGGATCTCTGTAGCATCTCGAGTGGCTGTTTCCATAGCAACTGCTGTGTCAACAGCTTTGGAGAATTTTAATTTCGACTCTGCAAGGAGACGTTTCTGAATTGGCTGATTACTTAATCCATACACCAATCTGTCACGCAAAGTTTCTTCCAAGTTATTTCCAAAATTGCAATGAGTGGTTAATTTCTTTAACTCAGCTATATAACTTAAAATGTTCTCCCCTTCTTGCCGATTTCTCGTATAAAAACGAAACCGTTCGGCTATTTCTAGTGGTTTAGGATTTAAATGCTTCTGTAATGTACTTACTATTTCATCAAAGTTATGTCTGCAGGCTTTTCTGGCAAAAGTAAGTCCTTTAGTAATGAATACGTTTTGCTTCCAATCAAACTCAGCAGAGTTGGCACTTGATGATTGTCGTCGACATCGTTTGCAGCGAAAAAATGTTGTACTCGTTCGACATACGTCCCCCAGCTTTCTTGGGTTTCATCAAAAACATCAATTTTTACAATCGTTGTCATTTCTGGACTTATAACAATCCCAAATTCGACGCCACTGTCGTGTATTTAGATTATACTCTTAACAAAATATGAATAATACATAAGCATGGCCAATCTACATATCTAATGTGCATGTCCGTGCGTATGACCGCTGTCCGTCTCTATCGATATATCTAACAAAAGTGTAATAATTTTATTGTGTTTAGATCAATTCACATCAGCTGGTCAAACCACCCAACCTTCCTCCACTACCAAAAGTACCATTCCGCCTTTTTCCACTACTGGGGGTGCCACTCAACATTTCTTCACTACTGAGAGTACCACTCTACATTCCTCCACTACTGATGGTAATACTCAATCTTCCTTCACTACTGAGGGTGCCACTCTACCTTCCTCCACTACTGATGGTACCACTCAACCTTCCTCAACCACAGAGGAAATCATTCAACCTTTCTCCACTACAAAAGGTACCATTCAACCTTTTTCCACTACTGGGGGTTCCACTCAACATTTCTTCAATACTGAGAGTACCACTCTACCTTTCTCCACTATTAAGGGCACCGCTCAACCTTCCTCCACTATTTATTGGACCAAACAACATTCCTCCACTACTGAGGGTGCCACTCTACCTTCCTCCACTACTGAGGGTACCGCTCAACCTTTCCCAACCACAGAGAAAATCATTCAACCTTTCTCCACTACAAAAAGTACCATTCAACCTTTTTCCACTACTGGGGGTTCCACTCAACATTTCTTCACTACTGAGAGTACCACTCTATCTTTCTCCACTACTAAGGGCACCGCTCAACCTTCCTCCACTATTTATGGTACCAAACAACATTCCTCCACTACTGAGGGTGCCACTCTACCTTCCTCCACTACTGAGGGTACCACTCAACCTTCCCCAACCACAGAGAAAATCATTCAACCTTTCTCCACTACAAAAAGTACCATTCAACCTTTTTCCACTACTGGGGGTGCCACTCAACATTTCTTCACTACTGAGAGTACCACTTTACCTTCCTCCACTGCTGATGGTAATACTCAATCTTCTTTCACTACTGAAGGTACCGCTCAACCTTCCTCTAATACTGATGGTACCACATGTACACAACATTCCTCCACTACTGAGAGTACCACTCTACTTTCCTCCACTACTAAGGGCACCGCTCAACCTTCCTCCACTATTTATGGTACCAAACAACATTCCTCCACTACTGAGGGTGCCATTCTACCTTTCTCCACTACTGAGGGTATCGCTCAATCTTCCTCCACTACTGATGGTACCACTCAACCTTCCTCGACTACAGAGGAAATCATTCAACCTTTCTCCATTACAAAAAATACCATTCAACCTTTTTCCACTACTGGAGGTGCCACTCAACATTTCTTCATTACTGAGAGTACCATTCTACCTTCCTCCACTACTAAGGGCACCGCTCAACCTTCCTCCACTATTTATGGTACCAAACAACATTCCTCCACTACTGAGGGTGCCACACAACATTCCTTCACTACTGAGAGTACCACTCTACCTTCCTCCACTACTAAGGGCACCGCTCAACCTTCCTCCACTATTGATGGTACCACACAACATTCGTCCATTACTGAGGGTGCTTCTCTACCTTCCTCCACTACAGAGGGTACCGCTCAACCTTCCTCCACTACTGATGATACCACTCAACCTTCCTCAACTACAGAGGGCACCGAACAACCTTCCTCCACCACTTTTACACCAGGTAAGTTGTTTGTTTAGAATTTAGTACACTTTAACAATGAAAACAGGTTGGATAAACCATATAGAATGCGTATTTGATCACGAATCATGCCTCCACATTTTCCCAAGCGCGTGCGCCAATGGCGTTCACTTAAAATCCGCCGTATTAAATTTGACTAGCAGCGAAAACTACAAAGTATAACGATAGTGGTATTTAGATCTTGGATTTGTCGCTTTGTCTTCGCTGTGGTTCTTGCGAAATCTACTTCTTCATCGTCAACATTTATGGTATTATTTGGTTTTAATTAAACTGTTCTTCGTCGAGGTCCAGTGTAAGGAGACGCTGAATTCCTGTAGACTAACTTCATTTATACTGGAATTTATTATGGCTAACGTACTCTATCATTAGCGGTCTCCCAGAGGTCCAGTATGGGTCATCGCTTAACGTTTTAGTGTAACAACAGGAGAAAACCTAAACGAATTTAAAGATGCTGTAAAACCGCAATGTAACGAAACGCCTTGCTACTTTTTGAACAGCTATATTTATAAAATACTAGAAAATACATGCATGCAGAAACCCTCGCCTTGCTGACAAAACCATTGTATTTTCCGAACATGAAGTATCTAGAGCAGTTGTCATGGTAACACGATAATTTTTTAAGAATATTCTTACAAATCTCCTAAAAATATCACTTTTAAATACAAAATTATCAATTTCCCAACATATATATGTTAGCTATGTTATTATACGTAATATAGGCTTCAATTTAAGATAAAATTCAACAACAACCGCTTCGCAAAACGTTTTAAAGTGTTCTTTATAATTAAATGGCTTTATCGATAAACTTTGAGTTTGCAATAAAATGATTTCAAATTCTCGCTTGCAAATAACTTTGCTTTCTTTTTTATTAAAAAAATGCAATATAATAAAAAAGGGAATCAATATTAAAGATACACTGATATTATTAGCCCGCGTGCAGGCCCAAGGGAGCAGGCTCAAGGGAACTTGATAGTGGGCCTGCAAGCAAGGCCCGGTATTTTGTACTTTCCGCGTTCGCCCACGAACGCGGCATTCTGATTGGCTGTTTGCTGTTGGATTCTATAATTAGGTCAGTGATTCATCACAAAGGCTCTCGATAAGCTCAAAATTCGAAAATTGATCACTTTTTTCGATTATAAATGGAACAAGAACAGACTGTTTATTGTTTACTAGAAGGAAGAGATTTTTTGTGCCGTTATGCCAATGGGGATTGCTTGTCGTGAGTTGTTGGAATAGCAACATTACGACTGGGGTAAACTATAGTAACCTTTACTTGAGTTTCATTAATTTCAAACAGACTTGAAACGTTATATGTTCCTCAAGAAAATTATCTTTTGGTTGATGTTGAGATGCAGTTGCATGTAAGCCTATTAGAAACACTTTGCGATTTACAAGGCTTCGCTGAGAGAACGAAACAGAAGACGGTATATTTAAATTGCCGTTTGAAACGAAACGATCTGGACTCTGAACGCTCTCTTCTTTTGTAGAGTTCTTTACCAAATGAAATAACTGAAGTAAATTTCGTACTTTCCGCCGCCAACAAGAATTGCACACACGATCTGATAAGTGAGACAATTTATTTATAACAATGCCAACGGCGACAGCGAAACACACATTATAAATGTGGTCGCACGACTTCCCTCACGATTTGAAGTTTGAGACTGGTTTTCTGTTGAAATTCGTCCTAATTTGCCTGTTCCGATTTTAGTTGAAAATGAGCACTTGCAAATTTGGCAATTACTGACTGCGTTGCTTGCTTTTTTAGAGTTAAAACGCAGCCATTTACACATTGTTTATGTTCTGAATATGCAGAGAAAACCCCGCAACATTTTAATGCGAGTTTGTTTGTTAATATTTGGGTGCTGTCATTGGTTCTTTTTTGACAATTGACGTGCGAATGGGGCGTGTTATGAAAAGGGGCGTTTTACAAAATACCGGGCCTTGCTTGCAGGCCCACTATCAAGTTCCCTTGAGCCTGCTCCCTTGGGCCTGCACGCGGGCTATGATATTATATGCTGTCTTGTTTAGTTGTTTCATATACGCAAACGCCGTCGGGTTTTAAATCCATTATAAAATCAATATTTAAAACAAACTTACCTTCGTTAACGTCGGCTCCCTTCTTTTAGCCGATTCTTTCGCCCTTTCTTTATGAAAAAACTTTTGAAATTTACAAAATCTTGCAAAAAGGCGAGCAAAAAATTCATCAATCATCAAACAAGAAATGTTTGCTATTTCGCTGTCGTCATACAGTCGTTAATGCAAATTTTAAATTGGACCAATCAGTGTCCGCTATTCATGACAGTCCGCCATATATTTGAGATCAGTGAGGATGACCACCCACGGTTGGTCACCCAGGCCCGCGATATTTGATGAACTTTAGACTCCGCTAATGCTTTCGTTTCCCCGGGTGTAAATAGCCGGGGGGAATTAGTACCCTCGCACGGCGCTTCGCACCGTCGGCTCGGGGATGATATACTAACTGAATATCTAACACTTTTGTGATTTGCCCTGCTTGTAAATGAATATAAGCTAAACGTTTCAATTCAAGAAAATTCGAAAGGTGCAAAATTTGGGCAATGTTTATATCTGTGGGTTTCACCCTTTGTTATGAGCAGAACTGATGCGCTGAGCGGAATTTACAGCATCAATAATTTGAAATTAATACTGATTTTGATACGGGACACCGGGACATCATAATAGCTAGCTCTTTCAGTTCTAAACGGCTGTTCTCACAGACCAGAAGTGGTTCAGTGTTACGACAGAAGAAAAACTAAACTAACTTAGTATATAGACCTTATTCATAATTCGCAATCGGGGCCCCGTTTCCTCGGAAACGGGAATAAACGTGGTCGAACAAACAAAAGCTGGCCTACTTGCGAAAAGCCAAATCACTGCCAAGTTCAGGACGCCTTTTTCTTGTCGTTTAATTCAATTTAGAACGACTTTGTATATATTTTTAACATTTTGTCCCAACAACGAAAGCTAGAAACGAGACTGCTATGAAAAAGACCGCTCTTTCTCCAGTTTTCTGTGTGGAAAATGTCAAAATATGACAACGTAGCGATGGTGTTTATCCAGAGATGAAAAACAGTATTTTATTGAGATTGTAACGTCAATATATAACTTATTCCGTGACAAAATGAAGACAACCATGGAAGGAAAGTTTTATTTTCATATCTTGGCATTTAATAATATGAAAGAAAACAAGAGGTCAAAATTCACCAGAAAACTTCAAATGTTATTGATTCGCATGGAAAGTTTTTTACTTATGTATGAAATATGTTTGCGCCTCGAAGACATTCTGCAAGCAGTCTAAAAGTTTAAGGAATGGAAGCTACCTTCACTGAGTGCATAGGCGTACGGGAAGGAAAAAATTAGGGGGCGGAAAGAAATTTGCCCAACTTTTTCGGATTGTTCCCGAGTTGTCAAAAAAAAATTTCCCGGGAAACTTTCCAAAATTGTTGTCGAAGGGGGAAAGGAGTGATTACGAAAAATTCCTATTAGATAGCATATTTCCCACAAAATTGACAGAATTTCCCACAAAATTGACAGAATTTGTCCCATTTATTTTTATAATAAGCCAATATTTCCCGACTGTGAAGCGAATATTGCCCGACTGGCTTTGTTTGCCCAACAAACTGGGGGGTTTGCCGCCCCCTCCCCCCCCACCCCCGCCCGGTACGCTCATGACTGAGTGAGTAGTAATCTTATTTCTTTAATTAACAATGGTTTCATATTTCCTACGATTTTGAAATTGTAGAAGTTTGTAGACGTTTGATAATTGTTGGGTTTTTTGCGAAAGTTTTCTTTTCCGATTGACCGCAGCATTTTTGTACGGTAAATATTTCAGGAAAATGACAATATATTTTCTCAAAAGCATTACTTCAACTTTCATTCTTAGTTTTATAGATAATTTGTGGAAAATGCGTTGATTTTTTAGACAACATATTTCTAGTCTTGCAATACCCGGCACTTTTCCCGTGTTTATTCCTGTTTCCTAGGATGCGGGTCCCCGATTTCGATTTATTAGTAAAGTTTATGAGTTATGCCGGATAGTAAACTGTTCTCCTTGGAGGTCGAGGGTGTTTGGTTGAGTCAAAAGCTCTCAAAGAACTATCAGAGGTACAGAAAGGCACACATAAAAGACACTTGCCAAAACACACTCAACTATTTCAAGTAGATTGCTACACTTTAATTTTGAGAACATTCAATTTCGTAAACATTTGATTTCGTGAAAGCCAAATTAAATTTAATACCATTTATTTATAGTAATTCTCGCACTTTTGTAGTACAATGTTTGTGTGACAGTCAAACGGAGGACAAGAAAATTCGCATAGATCTTCTAATACCGCTGGTTATTTTGGCCCTATGTTTTCTTCTTTCACTTGCTGTGATCATATACCAAAATCGTCGTCTCCAAAATAGCAATAGGAGGGCGAGTCATGGCGAAGGTACGTATGTTGTCTTTTACCTTAAAATTAAACAAGTTAATTTTATAGTTTGTTTATACTTGTCAGTGGATATCTTTAGCAATTTGTAACTGCTCTCCCTACGTACAGAGGTCCAGCATGGACGATCTTGTGTTGATCCGCAAGCAAACATAAATTGTAATTTAATTTGTTATGAATATCTGTATCAGCTCGAACGCCTCTCCCCCATAGAAGCTCAGTAAGGACTCCTACTTGGTTCAAATATTCCGGATAACTAGGAACTCTCAAAAATTTGACAGAGCCAAACTGGAAGCACTGTTGTTACATTATAATACGACAAGTGGACTTTTACGTCTTATGTTTCAAGAATATTTAATTATTTAGATGACAATATCAGGTGAGAGGATGAGTACGCAGGAAGTATATTAATCACTGTTTAATTTACTGGTTCCTTTTAGTTACATTGTCTAAACTTTGTAGTTTCCATTTCAAAACCTACAGGACAAGAACTCTCGAACTACATGTTTATGAAAGACAACAAGGAAGCTGGTGATGATTAGGCATTGGAATCTGGCAATCCCTTATTTAAACCGAATCTCAGTGGCTAAAAGATGGAAAAAAGTAGTTTGACTAACAGCCAATGGTTCAAAGGTTACAGCATATACCGGACAAGTATATAGATTCAGCTACCGGGTGTCCCAAAAAAAAGTACTCCGGTTTGATTCGTAATAACTTCTAAACAGGTAAAGCTTTCAAAGAGAAATAACTTGCATCAAATAGGGGAAGGACTAACTTAGATTTTGATATATTACAGTTGTATTTCACTTAAAAATTCATGGAGATATTAATGTTTAAAATCGGGAGCATATTTTTGGATGTGTCTGAAATATGCAAAAAACGGCGTATCAAATATTAATCAAGATTTGCCCGACTGAAACATGCACTATTACCAGTAAATAAATGACACTTGAGAAATTGTTTATTATGAAACAAAGTATTATTATATCTACAAAATACAAGCAAGATTTATTCGTCCGAAATCCGCGTTCGTTCCTAGCACGAATACGTTTCCTTATTTCATGAGACCACTGCATTTCGAAGGATCGTCATGAATCGTTCGTAGTTCAGAATTAGGGCATGCTGTCACAATGGAATTGTGAAGCTCTTCTAACTTCTGCAACGTTCTGAAATCTTGTTAAGAACACCCAAACTCTTTTGCCTTTTCTTAATCTTGGCAAGTTCAGAATAAACAGATAATGAAACACAATCAAACCATACAACTCCATGCATAAGACATAACAAGCAACTCCCCAGAGACATCCAACATTTTTGGAACAAAACGTAACAAAATAGTAGCGTTGATACTGTGATGTGTATTTGCAAAAAGCAATATTATTTCCTTCATTAAAGAATAATATTCATCTTGCTATAACCAAGAAATAATCAACTGTTTTGAACCCATGAAAAACATAAAAAAATTAGGCTATTTAAGAAAAGCTATTTAAGCGCCTGCCTTGCCATGGTCTTTCATCTACTTTTAAGTTTGTAAAAACCTATTAAATACTTGCATAATTTCGAACGTTCATATTTCAGGAAACAATGAGCTAAGACTTACAAGTAAGTGTTATGTAAGATATATAAATCTACGCCATATCCCTTACAAACCCTAACGAGAATTCGCTGAAATACAAGTTAGCCTGATATGTCATTAAGCAGACAAACGCTGGAGTTAATATTTGATATGCCGATTTTCGCTAATTTTAGACACATCCCAAAATAAGCCACCGATTTTGAACATTAATATCTCCGTGAATTTTTAAGTAAAATACAACTGTAATATATCAAAATCTAAGTTAGTCCTTCCTCTATTTAACGCAAGTCATTTCTATTTGATAGCTTTACTTGTTTAGAAGTTATTATAAATCAAACGGGAGTACTTTTTTTTGGGACACCCGGTAGATGAGTAGTTTGTAGATGAAGTAGGAATTTGTCACCACATATCCAAATATATTTCAACTTTAAATTGATATGACTTTTGACAAAGAACACTTGACAATTCCTAAATTTTTCTTAAATATTTTCTTTGCCGCGCTCATCAAGTGAATTTAAATGTCGCGCATTTAAATTCACCTGATGAGTGTGGCAAGCATTGTTTGTCATACGAAACAAGTTTGTAGTGAATAAAATCTTATGAAGTAAACCAGGTTTATTTTAATTTTATCTTTATTAGCTCTATACTTTGGTATATCGACCACTCTACTCATATACTCATATATTATTCTAAATAGTTACCCTTGATGTCTCACGAATGTGGGACATCAAACCATTGCCAGAGTGCTTAAACTGCAAGCAGTGAGCATGCGCACAATGCGTAAGCAGCAATGGCTCATCCTGTAGAGTGCTCAATATGACACAAAGGCCATAGAGCAATATCTAACTACAGACGGTACCGTTTCGGCCTTTTGGGCCTCATCAGTGTAGTGCTGATGAGCAGGATGTATAAGTAACCACTATAAATAGTTACCCTTGATGTCTCACGAATGCGTAAGCAGCAATGGCTCATCCTGTAGAGTGCTCAATATGACACAAAGGCCATAGAGCAATATCTAACTACAGACGGTACCGTTTCGGCCTTTTGGGCCTCATCAGTGTAGTGCTGATGAGCAGGATGTATAAGTAACCACTATAAATAGTTACCCTTGATGTCTCACGAATGTGGGACATCAAACCATTGCCAGAGTGCTCAAACTGCAAGCAGTGAGCATGCGCACAATGCGTAAGCAGCAATGGCTCATCCTGTAGAGTGCTCAATATGACATATATATATATATATATATATATATATATATATATATATATATATATATATATATATATATATATATATATATATATATATATATATATATATATATATAGATAGATAGATAGATAGATAGATAGATAGATAGATAGATAGATAGATAGATAGATAGATAGATAGATAGATAGATAAATAGATAGATAGATAGATTGATAGATAGATATAGATATAGATATTACATATTGCATATTACATATTACATATTACATATTACATATTACATATTACATATTACATATAACATATTACATATTACATATTACATAATTATTACAAATTACATATTACATATTACATATTACGTATACGTATACGTATACGTATATCGGCGCCCGCGGTTGCAATTGAACTTCGGATTGCCTGCGGTTACATCGCAGTTCAACCGCGGTTGTGTGGGCGAAGTGAGGCTTGACCGCAATTCACGGCGGAATACGAAGACAGCACGACTTTGCCGAGTGCAAATACTGTATTTTAGAAATCAGAATCAACAAGATTTTTGCGATTTTAAATGTATTCAGAAGGTTGGGAAGCAATACAATGGGAAAGCTACTTTGTATTCTCGAAGACGTATTGTGTCTATCTTATTACTCAATCCTCAATTATATCGAGCCATATCATGCATGCATTTATAATAACAAAATAATTATAGAGGAAAGCGACTATTCAACATTTATGGGATGAGGCTGAGCACGATATCCAGAATTATTTAGACCGAGGTCAATGTTATCTGCCGAAGCCGAAGGCTGAGGCAGTAACATTGAGCGAGGTCTGAATAATTCTGGTATCCTGCGCAAGCCGAAGTCAATAATTGTTTTATTATTCATTTTGTCACAGAAAGAAAAAAAACAAGCAACAATTGAAAACAAATACATATTCATTGAATTGATTAACTTTTCGTAAATTCAACTAAAAATTTCCCGCCAATTTGTATTTTCACATAAAATACCGCTGAAATATCTCGGGCGCCGTCCAATAACCTCTGCAGATTACTGTTTCCGCTGGAAATAGCGCATGGACATACAAATACCCAAAATTATTTGTAGGCTCTTAGCCAATGAAAAACCGAGAATACAGTACAATGATTAATAATTATAATAATTTGAAAAATCTCTTACCATTGAGTTTGGTTGTAGCCTGATATTCCTGTCCTTCGTAGTCTATGATAACTGCAACCCCTTCTATCAGTGCATTGCCACCGCTGGTATACACTGCTTGTAATAGTAGGCTATATGGAACGGTACAACATATCTGATCGATATTGAGGAACAACGAAAGCCGTTGTAACTTATTGATAAAATGCATACCTAATTTATCAGTACTCGACCGAGCTTTGGTTCAATTTCTTGGTGTAATTTCCTGGATGAACTTTATTTCATACGGGTATCAAACTCATATAGCAACTTTATCCAGATTTAAATTACCGTGCATGATCTGTGCCATAAACGTAATATTAAAACTTGCGCGAGAGGAATTATCATTCAATGTCAATTATCACACAAAGATCACAGAATATTTATCACTCATGCAATATTAAATTAATTAACATATCAGTGGACAAAATTCATATCAATCCGCTAAACGCGTTTATCAGTGATAGTGCTGATAGTTTGGTAGCTTAATTAATTCACTGGAACAGTTAGCAGTGTATGCTGGATTACAATAAAACATTATTTGAGAGTAAAATATTATAATTATTTGATAGTAAAACATTTGCAAATTTCGAAAAAATGGACTGATTATTGATAAAATAAATGTTTGTGGTCGGAAGCGTGAGCGTGTGGGCGTGAAACAATACGTATACTAAGCAACGATATAAATGGAAGGAATAAGAATTTCTTTTTATGTCTACAGGTTGAAAATAGTTCCGATTTTTGTTAATTACTTCTTTTTGATCCTCCCGTAGAAACAGGGGGTTTTGTTATTGACCAAGTTATGTCGAAATCTTGATTGTTTTCTTTTAATTTCCAAAAATATTTCGAAAGATCTGTATCATTTGAATATTTTTTGTGATTGAAAGATCTAATGAGGTTTCGGTATCGTTCTAAACAAAATTAGGAACAATTTGACATTGATCATGACGCCTTCAATTTGATTATAGATGAAATATAAATAGAAATCCTGGCAACTATGTTTCTGGACCAACTAAATTTTTATCCGCTACATACAGGAAAGCTGTTTTGAGCTCGAGTGTTGAGATTAACTGAATAACAAGTGCATAAACAAGTACCTAAACAACAGACTTTTAATTTCTTTATCGCTAAAACAAATAATTTTGAAAATCCGTTATTCGCATCAAAATTAAAATTGAAGAAAGCTTTGACGAGCCTTATATTACGTCCATTCTTTTCAATTAACTTGTCGTGCTTAGTCCGTGTGTTGTGACCTGAAAAAGTGCCTAGAAAACGATTTTCATTATGTCTTAGATCTGAAATATTTTTAAGGGAAAAACGCTTTCGAACACGCTGAGTTCAAATCCGAAAAGTTCCCGCTCCGGAGACCCGCAGTTTTCTCACAAACTGCTATTTTATCTTCACTAAGTTCACAGCAAATCTTTTCATTGCTCAACGACACAAAATGATCACGATACACGATTTTGTCACTCAAAAGGACCAATTTCTGTTAACCAGTCTTCCTTTTAAAAAAAGATCGGTTTTGCTCGAATCATTTTGAGTCATGCAATCTTATGCGTGTTGGACGTAAACAACATATCTTGTCTACAACTTTGAGAAGGTACAGATAATTCCTTGTAATATCGTTAGTTCAGGATCTATCTCTATAAAATCTCAAGGACGTTAATGTTAAGTCTTGGGCTATGTCTCTGGGCTGAGAAATAATTCCTTACATGCGATCAAAATGTTTTATACAAAGATGTGAAAGTAGTGAAACTGTAATTATAATCTATATGTATTGGATCAGCATTTAAATTTCCAACACAGTTTACGAGACGTAGTCAAGAGATAAGTTATCATTGCATTTGAAGTTTTGCATCAGTGGTGTTATACTGTGCGATAAGCAAATATTGTTGGAAAGAGGATTTCCATACACGTTGAAATCACCAAATAAACAGCTCATGCAGACATTTCTCCACTTCGTCGTACGTTTACAGAGCATAGTTTATACGTTGGGACTGCTCTTTGTCTTTGATGTGAACATTATTTTATTCTTCTAGTTTACGGTTATTTAAGATTAATAATGTCGTAATTGTTCAACCAGCAACCAATCGACAATATGTATTTCATTTTAGCGTTGTCTTTGCCGTAACGTTGGCTTCGCGTTACTTTTGTTTTAAATACCTTGATTGCGTTAAAAGAGTTATTTTTCAGGCCAGTGACATAGCCAAAAGACTTCGCATTAATGTCCTTGTGATTTTATATACATATCTCTAGAACTGAGGATTTTAGAAAGCGTTATATCTGTACTTTCTCAAAGTTGTAGACAAGATAAGTTGTTTACGTCCAACACGCATAAGATTACATAACTCAAAATGATTCGAGCAAAACCGGTCTTTTGTTAAAAGGAAAACTGGTTAATAGAAACTGGTCGTTTTGAGTGACATAATCGTGTATCGTCGATTCGTCATCGATCCGTGTCGTTGAACAATGAAAAATTTGTCGTGAAATTATTGAAGATAAAATAGCATTATGTGATGTGATGTCACACCGGTGATATTTGCATATGAAACAAAGTTGAATATCTTGAAAAGGGAGCAAGTTACCAAAATTCTATAAAAGAAATTAATAAGTCATTTTAAGTGATCTTTACAATGCAACCATAAACCTTTGGGGTGAAATTTCGTGTCATAGGCACTTTAATGAAAGTGAACGATATCGGGTCACAACACACGGACTATATATCATTTCGATGAAAACTAGCCAAATACGATCCGATTAATTTAAAATGGGCGGTCAAAATCGCATTTTTCCGCCTTTGCACGAGTACTGCAATTATTCTTGTTTTCAAATTTAAGAACTCGAATAAAGATGGCGTAAGGTGTGGGTTAACAAATATTAATGGTAAAAAGCTCATGATTGGGGTAATTTATAGACCACCAAATAGCAATTTTGACATGTTTAAAAATACAAATAATGATATTTTAGGAAAAATTGACAGACGAAATAAACTTTGTTATTTAATGGAGATTTTAAAATTGACCTTTTCAAGTCAGAGTCTTATGACATGCAAATAAATTTGTTAAACAATTATTTACATCTTCCTTCTTTCCACTAATCACTAAAGCAACAAAAATTAATACCACACTAATTGACAACATATTTACCAATAACCTGCCAGAACTTAATGACGGCAAAAGTGGTATTATTTTTAGTGATACGCAGACCATCTGCCCATACAAGGTGTATAAAAAACTGCACAATTTAAAAATGTCTGCTATAAACTACAAATTCCGTATAATTTGTGAAAACTTTATAGATGTGAAAACTTTATGCTAAAATTATTTTGAAATGTACATTTTGGACTGCAGGAGGGTTGTTTTTGAAAACCACTTTAAAATGGCTTGCGCGCAGTAATGGAAAGCTTAAAACGCAATTTGATTTCATAGGGTGCAAATTTAGGTGTTTTATGAACCATCAAAGTGCCAGACAATTTGATGTGTATTAAAACATACGCGCCACCTCCAAAACTTTCACTTTTTGGCCATAGTATAGCCTTTCACACACAACTTTAAAACTTTTTGTAAAGAAATCAATCGTGCATAAAATCAATAATGCATAAAATCCAACATGCGTTTAATAAATTGTCCAAGTTTTAGGAATTTAGGGTTGCACCGTATAAATTTAAATTGCCTTTTAAAGCTTCCATTATTGTGCGGCAAGCCATTTTTTTGTGGATTTTAAAACAACCCTCTTGTGCTAGAAAATTTATTTTTCAAAATAGTTTTAGTCCCGAAAATACGCAGACCCCCAAACTAACCCATGCTTGCTAAAGTTTTAACAAACTATACGGAATTTGCAGTATAGCGGACATTTTCAAATTCTGCAGATTTTCATACACACTGTATAGGCAAGCGATATCGGAACGTATTTGGCTATTTTTGATAGTGCAGTCATTTGACAGCAATAAATCTGCTCTTTATAAGCATTTGAAAACAGGAAACCTACAAACGTAATTATACCTAACGCACGTTAACATAAATACTTCATCTTTGGAAGTGAACGAGTTCGACACGTTCGAAAGTCTAAAATCCCTTAATCCGGATAAATCCTCGGGTCCCGACGGCATTTTTCCTTGGATTTACAAAGCCTATGCTGAAATCCTTCCATACCCAGTTAGTGTAATCCTGAATTGTTCCTACAACCAAGGAAAATTGCCCTCAATATGGAAAAGTGCTAAGGCAACACAAATGACTAACATTAGGAAGGAAACACAAATAACAATCCTATTCCAATTCCTATAAGGAAACACAAATAACTAACATTAGCAGAAGAATTCATTTTAGAAAGACATTTAAAATCTGCTATTTTGAAGATCCTAGACCCCAAACAATTTGGCGTTGTTGCCCTGTCGTCTACTACTGTGGCCCTTGTTTAAATGCTGCACCAATGGCAACAAGCTGCTGATAAAACTGGTAACTTGGTTCGCATAATACTGTTTGATTAACGCAAAGCATTTGATCTGCTTGATCATAACCAATTGATTCCTAAATTGAAATCCCTCGACCTTTCACCTCAAATAGCTAATTGGATTATCGATTTCCTTATTAATCGGAAGCAAAGGGTTTAATTAAACAATGTGGTTGTTTCTCCGACTGGAGTGACGTTCGCTCAGGGGTGCCGCAAGGAACAAAGCTCGGCCCGTGGCTGTACATATTAATGCTTAACGACTTAACTACACAAATAACAACATATTGCGAAAGTCTGTGGAAATATGTGGAGGACACAACCTTGTCTGAAACAGTTTCTAAAATAGATCAAAGTCGTATCCAGGAATCAGTTGACGCATTACAAGCGTCGGCAACTTCGAATATGGCTGAATTAAATGAGGAGCAGAGGACTGGGACTTGGACGTCGTCCTAAATAAATTAACTTCTACGTAAGTTTCACGACGTAGACATTTAAACTATAAATATATACATACTTTTGAAAATGAATTTAAAAGAGCCGTGTGAATCCATTACCGTTTGTTATGCTCTTGTATTTACGACGGTAGATTGTGATAGTAGGTTGTGAGGTCGACGTTTGGTGGACGACGAGCAAATTGAGAGAGACACATGCACACTTAAAAAACTATTACCAATTTACTTCCGCTTGCCGCCCTAAATATTTGACGTCGTAGATAAACTTGAGCTAGCGACTTATTTAGGACGACGTCCTAGTCCCAGTCCTCTGCTTAGCTCTGACGTCCTAGCTGGCGTCGACGTCGTAGATCTTAAGCTATCTGATAACTCCTAGTTTTTCACTAGCCAGCAACTGGGCTCCTCCGCAGGCATCCCGTTTAAATTGCATTAATCTATCCATATCCCTCTCGCTGGGAAGTCGGAAAAAGTCTCCAAAAGTAAATTCACTTATTGAACTAAAAAGGCAAAGCATCGGTTATGCACAAGTGACATGTTTCGATTTCCGTCTGCTGACATGTGGAACGTGATTCAATGCAAGCGTTCTTGGCATGGAACCACCTCCTACACGCCGCACAAACAATACCGCTTTTAACAATGACTATTTCACGAAGACATGTTGAGCATTATTTTTTCTCTATGTTTATATAATCCATATTAAACTAGAATAGATATAACATGTTAATATTTTTAACGCAATAGGCTACCTTTTAACTGTTATCGGGAATAAACTCCACATTGTTGATAAAAAGTTTGTCACGCACTAAACGTAGGCTACTCTTTGTTTTTCCGCATTCGCTCTTCTCATCTCGGGGTTTTCTGCCGCACTTTCTCTCAGTCTATTTCTACCAGAAACTGTTCGGAGAGTCCCAAAATTAAATTTTAAAAAGATATTTTCTATCTTAACACGAGACGCTTTATATATTTTTGAAATCATTAGAAGATTTTCTTTCGAAAGATAAGTAAACGAAGACTCTACAACAACAATTGGATGAGCTTACATAAGATTTGTAATCTTTTTGTCATGTTGTAAACAATTAAATTTTAGTCAAGCGGCTACCAAATTGACTCCTAACTTCTTAATTTCTGATCGTATAAACTTGATTCAAACATTTTCCGATAGCTTATTTCTCGAGGATTAAAAATATATAAAATTTACCTTGTCTAGGAGCGGAAAGTATTAGGAAATGTTGAAGAACAAATCAATTTCGCGCATTGAAATTACAAGTGGTTTTATTTTATTCACACCGCAAAATTTGTGATGTAAAATGTTAGCCGAGGTCGCTTGCATTTACAATATTCAACCTATAATGTGTTCATGAAAGATCGATCAATATCGCACAAAAATATATGTAAATTTATTCATGTTTTCTTACCGTATTTATGTCACAGGAAGTTATCACTCATCGCTCCTTGACAATTTTCCGCGACGTTTTCATATTATACAGTTTCCGACGTTTTCATATATTAGGTGTGCGCAGAAATGATTTGAAGAACAGTTTATCGATATTTTGCTCAGAAAAAGTTGTGTTGCTGCCCAATTTAACATATATGTGAACGAAGAATGGGTATACCACTTCATCTATATATCCCGGCAATTTCTTTGTTTCATCTACTGTGTACTCAAAGAGTTAACTGTGACAATTCAGGTATGTTTCTTGCATTGTGAAGGCACTTGGACTGAAAACACTCTCCTCCGCAGAGCCATATAGTTAAACACAATGGGTAAACGCAAAGACTAGCTATATGGTCACAATAGACAATGTATAGTCAAAAGTGTATAAAGTGTATATAGTGAGTGTTTGAGTGAATGTCAAAGAATATATAGTGTATGCCTATATTGTGTATATATAGGGTATATATATATATACACAATATACGTATATTATCAGTATACAGTCAAAAATGTATAAAGTGTGTGTTTAAGTGAATGTCGAAGAGTATATAAACGATTAGACTAAAAAAGTATATTATATTATAGTGTATATTGTGAAAATAGTGTATAGTCAAAAGTGTATATAATGACAATATGTGTCAATGTATGAAGTGAGATTTTCCAAGAATGAGGAAAAATATTGGCCTTTATGACGTTAGTTAGGCTATGTATGCTATCATGCATATGACTATGAATGTATAAAGCGGGATTTCTTTTAAGAACGAAGAAACTGTCGTCTGAGGAAACATATATGCCTTGATGACTTTAATATGTATAATACGAGTATGACTACGTGTCACTGATTTTATATATAAAGCGGATTTTTTTAAAGAACGAGAAAGCATGCCTTTATGACTTCTACTTATAAATATAACCATAGCCACAGACTATAAGACCAGTTTGAGTGAAAAATGTGTAATAGAATATTTGATTACAAAACAACGTTTCATATCTGCATGCATTAGTATTTACAAATTACAATTACTCAATAGCGGTATTTAATCACTAAGATACCAGTATCTGTTAAAATATATATACAGTGTGTATAAAAAAAGGCTAGTCTTTGAAATTCAAATTAGTCATAATTACAGTGATGTCATTGTTCTAAACTGCGTAGAGTTAATGATACGTGATAAAAACGTGTGTTATTTACAAAAGAGAACAATTAAGGTTACAGAACACCTTTGAGGGTTAATTTTGCATAAAATTTTTTTATTGGTTTCCACAAAAGCATTAGACTAGTTCTACTATCTGACCAAGTTTGAACGAAAAATGTTGAAAACTCGCTGAGTTATTTAATAAAATACATTTCGCCGCAATAAGACAAACATTGACAATGTAATATTCAAATTCAATTTTCTCCCGAAGAATTTTACGGTAATTACTGATTTTCAAATGAGTTGTGCTCCTGCGGGTTTTGACCAATTTTTCCCAAATTTTCACAGGACATAGCTAAAGACGTCAGTTTCAAATTTTATGTTCGGCTTTTTTTTATTTTGGATATTTTAATAATAAAGAGCAATTCACTCAAACAATTCAGAAATATATTGCAGTCGTCAAAGAAATCGCCATATCAGCGGAATGACGAAATTAACAAAAAAATCCGAACACAATTTTTTGGAACAACTATTTTACTGTATAAAAATGATATTTTCATAAATATAACTTAAAACCAGCAGGAGTACAACTCAAAAGCGTAACGGTACCGCGATTTAAGATTTTCCTGAATAATTCTTA